ACCACTCTGTCTCCAGAGTTGCTCTACTTCCTTAGCGGCTCTATATCTTGAGCTGCTCTACCTCCCCAGCCATTGCACCTTGAATATAAACCAGATTCAAGGTTCAGCTGATGATGAAGTAGTTTTTCTGTGATGGTAAACGGCCTGTATTTGTATAGCACCTTCTTAGGGTTCTACAGGTACTTCACAGCACTATAAGTCATTCACCCATTCACACACACTCACAATGGGGATGAGCTACGGTAGCGAATGACAGAGGTGAAGCCTGCCAAACACAGGTGCCACTGGTCCCTCGGACCACCAGCAGGAGGCAAGGCGGGTTAAGTGTCAAACAGCATTCTCTGGTCAGAGCCGGGATTGAACCTGCAACCCTCCGATTGCTGGACTCCCAGCTCTACCTCCTGAGCTGCTGCTGCCCTTGTCCTGTAATGGTAACAGCTTTCTGTTAAAGGAATCACTCACGACAAACATGAAACAACCTTTCTTCTGTTCCTTGTCATCATGCTGACTGTGGAGCACTCGGGGACACTCGGGACACTCCCAGTCTCCCAGTGAAGCTAATTCTTCACTAACATGGGTGATAAATATAACCCTGAGATGAATCAGAGGGAATCAAGGACAAGACGGGTTAGCCGCTTCCTCTCCCCGGTCCTCCCACTCTGTTTATGGTCAGCTGCTGAAACAAGACCGCCGCTTGCTGCTTCCTGTCCTCCCTGATTCCTCCCTGCATCCCACCGTGAGACGGACGTCTGAGTCCCACTTTGGTCCTCCGGGATTTCCATTTAAACAATCAGATTTATGTCTGGGAGTAGGTTTGACCGGACCAACGGTATTTCTACCTGTTTATCTGGTGGCTTTGCTCCATGAAACCAACTTTTCGGGCCTGTTTCGTCTCGTCGGTAAACACACAACACAAACAGCTCACGGACCAAACCGGAGAACGGCTCTGACACAAACCGGAGAGTCCAGAAAGGCAACCAGCAGTTAACGAGCTGCAGGTGAACGGCACCAGAAAAATAAACCAAAGGGAATTCAACCAGATTTGCTGTGAGAATGAAAGACTTTTAGTTCCTTTATGAAGCTTAAACAGCAGCAGCTTGTCAGCTGATACGAATCAGCAGCAGCAGCTGGAGGGAAGTGATGTTTGGGATTCATCAGGAAGGAAAACAGATGGGTAGAAAAGTGACTTTTAGTCCTGCGTGACATCTGACTTCCATATCTGCTGCCCAGTCCTGAACTTCCTGTAGCTTGATGCCACGTGGTGACGCTCAGAAAGACGTCTCCCCAGCAGGTTAATGATGTCATTCCTCTGAGGGTGGCGAGGATTCGCCGGTTCGCTTCAGGACGACTGTGTCTGCGTGCAGCAGGTCTACACCCAATCTGTGGTTGTTTACTACGGAGTGACTCATCTCTCCAGACGTGGAGATCTCTGTCCGAATCAGAGCCAAGCGAGGTGGTGGGAGCCGTCCACGGGATTCAAACCAGCAGCAGCGTCACCATAAACACGCTAAAGACACGTCGAGAGACGGACGCAAAGAGAGCAGGAGGAAAACAAGAGAAGGAGCAGATGACAAATTATGTGAGAAAACATGACAGGAACACGGACTAAACGGAAGGGAGATGAATAAAGTGTCTGCTTGTGCCAAGAAAAGAAGAATGAAAGGAAAGCAGCGCTAGGAGACGGTGGAGGGAGAGAAGGAAAACACGCAGGGGAAGCTGCTAATTGTCGTTTATTTTCTCATCAGACAGATGTTTTTGTCTTCCTATCAGCTGCTTTGATGCGGTTTCCTCTTCGCTGTCAGAGGTCAGCAAGGTGACCCCGAGCCGGTCGCTGTGCTGCCAGAATCCAGCCAACAAAGACGGGTTTATTCTGCAGCCGGGCCGAGCAGCGAGGGGTATGCCGAGGTTACAGCAGGCAGATGAAAGTACATTCAGGAATGCCACTAATGATGTGTTCAATTAAGTTCAATTAGCCTAATTGTCCTCTGTGTGTGGTGAGGGACGGGGGAGGGAGGGGTGACAAACAGGGAGACAGATACATATTGTGCCGGAGCTGCTAAACAGAGGTTGACACTTCGTCTCCGCCAAGAATCCAGCCGTCCCTCAGCTCCTTTAGTCACCGTCGCCCAAAATAATTACTGAGCTCCTGAACGCGTCGGTTCCTCCCAACAAAGGCTGAGAGCGGCGCATTCTCACGGCGGCTCACGTTCCGGCGAAGCTCAACAAGCGGCTCAGACAGAAATGCTCCGCGAGGCTAAAATAAGCTGCTGCTCCCAGAGGACGACAGCCCGGTCATGTGACCAGGATCCTCCCTACCCAGGTCTCCTGTGTGGGCGTGGCTACAAGACGTTTCAGTGCTCGGGGAATGCAACATAAGGCTAAGTGGTTTAAAGGTGAACCGTGTCCTAGTTAGTGCCATCTAGTGGTGAGTCTGGGAACAGCCAGCAGCATTTGTTGCTATGAGGTCATTTCCTGTTTCTTTGTTTAACTTCTTATTATT